GCCGCCGCCGCCGCGCAACGCCTGCCTCACCTGCCCGCAGTGCCACCGCAGCCTGGTGCTGGACGAGCGCGGGTTGCGGGGCTTCCCCCGCAACCGCCTGCTGGAGGGCGTCATCGACCGCTACCAGCAAGGCAGGGCGGCGGCGCTGCGCTGCCAGCTCTGCGAGAAGGCGCCCAAGGAGGCGGCCGTCATGTGCGAGCAGTGCGACGTCTTCTACTGCGATCCCTGCCGCCTGCGATGCCACCCGCCGCGGGGGCCGCTGGCCAAGCACCGCCTGGTCCCACCGGCCCAGGGTCGCGTCAGCCGCCGCCTCAGCCCCCGTAAGATCTCCACCTGCACCGACCACGAGCTGGAGAACCACAGCATGTACTGCGTGCAATGCAAGAGCCCCGTCTGCTACCAGTGCCTGGAGGAGGGCAAGCACTCCAGCCACGAAGTCAAGGCACTAGGCGCCATGTGGAAGCTCCACAAGGTGAGCCCCGGCCCCGGGGCGGCCTCCGCCAGCAGCCCTGGCCGAACCCCGCGGTCAGTAGATGGCTGCAGAGGGTCTCCTGTCCAGCACACCTTGCCCCACACGGTCCGCCTTCCCCCAGCTGGCAGGGTGGGAGCATTGCCACCCGCCCTCGCTCGCACCGGGGCTGCATTTTGCACCCTTGCTTGGGAGGAGAGTTGCCCCCCGGCATGGGGACGCTGGCATCGGGCAGGTGGTGCTCCCCATGGGTCCCCAAATCGTGCCATGCCGGCTGGCCCCCGTGAGCCGAGGCTCCGCTGAAGAAGCCGGCAGGGCCCTGCGGGTGGTGGCCTGGGGGTGGATCGGGGACACCTGCGCTGCGGAGCTGGAAAAGTGATGGGGAGCGTTGCTTTCACGAGGAGGGAGGCGTGAAATCTGCCGCGGGGAAGGTCGCGGATGCGGGAGCAGGGTGCTGTGGGGTGCTGCTGAGGAAGGGCTGCTGCCTCCTCCTGCGCACCGAGTCATTGGGAGGAGGAGGGATGGCAGCGGGCGAGCGGGCAGCGCAGTAGCGGAGCCTTTCACTGAATACTGATCAGCTCCTCTTGAGCGCACTCACTCCCACACGCGTCCTCGCTGGAGGAGAGGGTCCCAGCGCTTGAGGCAGGGACGTGGCTGTCATTAGCTTCAGCTCAACTCCATCCACCCCGCTGCCTCCCTTCTTCCTCGCGCCAGTGACCCCTTCGCCGAGGGAACTGGGGCAGAATTGACTGGTGCACGGGTGGACAGGGCGCAAGGGGATGGGTGTCACTCCTCGGATGAACGTTGAAATAATTGTCCCCTGCTCCAGCAAATCTGTGCTGGCAGGAGCAGGTGGGGGGACCTGTGACAAGGAGCTGGGGAGAGATGGGGAGGTGCGTGACCCCCCCCCCCCCCTGCCGAAAGGGTCTCAGCCAGATCGCTTTCCAGGAACGTCCCTGTCATGCTTTGGCAGGCTGCGTGGCAGCGCGCGGCTCCGTGGAGGGTGCAGACTGCTGGGCTGCAGCTCTGCGCCCCGTGTTGGGTCAGTGGGTGCATGCAGGGACAGGCCGTCGCTTGTCATGACGTCCCTTGAGAGGGCTGGGAGAAGAGGGTAACCGCGTGCTGTTGCAGTGTGGGAGGAAAGGGTATGGCGGTGCCTGTTACTGCTGGAAAGGGCTTGTCCTGACCCCCTTTTACTGGGAGCAGGAACACCTCCTTCCCAGCTTTCCAGCGCTCTTACAAAGATGAAGCCCATGTGCCAGAGCAGTTTTGGTGCCCCACGCCCTTGTCCTTACACACGGGGTGCAGTCACTGCTCCCAACTGGTGTTGGGCTGCCGGGGTGCACCGTGGCACAGGTGACTGCTGACTTGCTCACAGGAGCGCGGGAGCTCTTCTTCGCCGGCATGTTAGCAGGGCACCAGCCATCGGACGCTGTGAGCGTCTTGCTCCTCTTCCCTGTTATGAAACCCAGTAAGTGCTCGCTGTGCGAGAGCAGCCTGTTCTCGAGCCTGGTCCTCCTGGCCCAGCTCTTGGCGGAGGACGAACCCGTTCGGTCTGTGCTGACACAGAGCGGGAGCGGAGCCGGGTCCAGCTGTCGGTTGTTGTTCTCCAAAACAAGAGAAACCTAATGGGTACCAGGCCTTTTCATAAGGTTTTGGCTTCACCTTCCTGCTTTGATTCAGGTGCAGCAAGGCACTTAGATACACGCATGAGCGCCTGGACAACTTTGTATGCAAGTACTCGGATACTTCACGTTCAGTCCTTGTGTTCTTGATTAGGGCGGCTTATTCTTCCTTGAATGCTTAGCTTTTCTTTCCAAATACCTTTTCCTGGGGGAGAGCTTTAGCAATGCAGCATTTCATTGCTGTAGCTAACAGGCGTGGAACTGTAATGGTATTTGAAATGATGATTTTCATGCAATTTCTCTCAGATTTTTGGAAATCAGAAAGTGAAGTCACACCTGCCTTGAGTGAGCCTGTGTTTCTGCAGGTGGTCAAAATGGCTTTCTTGAAATGACGGTGCACGGGTTTACTACTATTTCCTGGTGTTTGCTTGTTAGGGGAGGGAAAAGAGTCTGTTGAGTCAATTGTGGCAGTACGGTATAATTGAAGGAGTGATTTCAGAAGCGCTCCCTGGGGTGCTGTGTAACTGAATCAAGGGGAGAGGCTATTGACATTTCAAGCTCTATGCTGGTTGGGACCGGGCGTTAGGAACCAAACCACCTGCGGATTTGAGCCAGTGAACCTCCTGCAAAAGTATCTGGGTGTCATTTTTTGAGGGGACAGGCCTTTGGCAGCAAGACAAACTTGCCGAAAGGGTGACTGTCCCTTTTTGCCTGATCTTTTCGCTGCGATGAGTGGTTGTAATGAGTACCTACAGCTCGTAGGAAAGGACAGAGTCATCAGCTCTTGACTTTTCCACGATTACAACACCGCTCGGTGCAAAATATTCTTTGGGATACGTCCGTGCTCTTAATTTCTGAGCTGAGGAGACTGTGATTCTCGCTGCAGTCTGCGATGACCCGAGAGTGCCTTGATGAGCTGTTGTTCTTGAAAGCAGCATTCACGCGTCAGTACGTGATTGCCGGGCCCTAGGCGATCGCTGTTAAGTGCAGCGTGCTTCGCTTTGGAAAGGAGACCAAAGGGCTTTTAAGAGACCTCTTCGGGAACTGCCCCAATTTCTGCTTTCCTCTGACAGAGTGCTGATTGACAGAGTGCTGATTGCGTGGTTCTCGCAGATGATCATTTCAAAATAATCTGTGCTGAGGCACAGTCAAACATAATTCGGGGAGCTAGGATTTCCAAGCCGGACACAGATCGTGGGAAATCCTCTTTCTTCGTATCTTCCTTTCAGGACAGCTATTGGGAGAGGGGTAAATATTCAGAGAAACATAGAGGAAAATGGGTTTTTAATCTGAATTGTCCCAGTTTTGTACATATATTGCAACTGTCTGGATTTTATCCTGACGAGCTGGAGTGCTGCTCGGCATGTCAAAAGCAGAAACACAAGATGGAGCTGAATCATTCATTCTTTGCACATTCAAGTCCCTCTTGCTTTTTCTGGGAAGTGTGTGGTGAGTGCAGGCTCAGCAGCTTGCTAATGGTTTTTTATATATAGATACATGCATACATACATACGTATACAAATGGACTGGAAGGGACCTCCAGGGTCACGCAGTCCAGTCCCCAGCTATCTCTGACAGCCCTGAAATCCCATCCGTCAGTTGATCAAGCTCTGTCTTAAAAATATTTTACCCTTGCCCATGCATGTTGGAAAGGTCTCCCAGAAGTTCATGGTTTCTGGTAGTAGCTTTTAAGCAGGTTTGAAAGCTTTCTGGGCTAGGCAATGGAGAGACAGTGATGTAGTTATTCCTGCCCGTCTCTCGTAGGGTGTCAGGTTGTTGCTCAGCACTGTTATATCTGGGCTATCCTCTGCAGAGTCCCTGGTACTTCTCGCCCCGTGGCTGGACGCCCGCCCTGGGGTGGGTCATGCCTGGCAGAGGCTGCTTTTGTCTTTGAGGTCGGTACCCCACTGCAGCAAACACGAACCTGGACTTACCGTGCACAGAAAGAGGCTGAAGAGGTCAGTGGTGAACGGTGATGCAAGCTTCTGCTGTCTTTTTGGGCAGTCAGGCAAGAAGCTTCCCTCTACTTTGGGTTGGGATCATGGGGGTTTTTACAGGGGCTCATGGGGCTTTGCGTCTTTTCTCCACTAGCATCTCTTTCATGTTCCTTTTGCCTTAAACCAAGACTCTGGGGTGGGACCACCGTCTCCTTTGCCTTGACATTGAAAGGGGAGCAGGTTAGGCAGCCTGTCGAATTCCTCTTGTAGTGAAGCAGAAACAGGTCTTGACTTCAGTGGAAGGTAAATAGTGCACTCAGTTAGACTTTTACGTGGATTTAACTGCCCAGGATGGGATTGCCCAGGCTGAAGACACAAACTGTCCTCTGATTGCAAACCCCTGCAGCATCTCTGCACAGATTGCAATAGAGATCAACCCTGTAAACTGACATTACGCACTCTGTTGCATCAGCTGTAATGATTGTTAGCAGTCAGAGGCTAATTAGCAGAGGTACTCTCCAGACCTCCGCTCACCCAGACTGTCACTAGCACAGATGGGATGACGGATGCGGGGGGAGCTCTTCTTTTAAGAATCAAAACTCCTGTGTACACTAGGCATGACTTTGTTCCAGTTGGTTTGCGCATCTGCGGTGAACTAGGGGGTAGAAAACACCACCAGTGCCTCTGAGGTTCTGCCCAGGGGACAGCGGGCATCAGAGCCAAGACAGCGACAAGCAGACAGCGTTATTCATTACCTTACTTGGCCGGGCCTCTGTGTTAGCTGCCAGAGGAACTTTTGTTGGGACTCGCTTTCTTGAGGCGTCGTGAACATACTGCTGTTGGGTCTGCGGGAATTTCTGTAGCCCACAGCGCTTGTGGGAAGTATCCAGGGAGCTGCTGTGTGACAAAGATCTGTTTGCATTTGCAAAGTAAAATATTTGCTGCTAAAACAGAAGCAGTGAGAATCCTCAATCTTTTCCTGTTGCAAGCAATGCACTTTCCCAAGGCTTGGTTTGATGGCCTTCCCGAATCCCACCGCGCTTGCTCCATCCCCTGCCATCTGCAGCGGCAGGGTCTCTCCTGTCCTTCTCTAGCGATGCCAAACAGCCTTCCCGATCGCTCCGTTTTTCTCTGGCCAAATCTTGAGAGCGGCAAACAGGCTGAGATGCTTTGAAGTCGGAAAAAAGAAAAAAAAAATGTCACTGAGGTCAGTGGATTTACACCAGCTTGTGTCTGTCCGGGGTCCGGAGGTGATGCTGCCGCCTTCTGTTAATTTATTTAGGAAAAAAAGCTTTCTGTCAGGTGGCTCTTTCCTTTGCACTTACCGCGGTTAAGGGAGTAAGGAGCAACCACGAATATCACGTTAATCAAAGGTAATGCGGTACAGCAAGTCCTACAAGGCGTTCTTGGAGCCTGTGTAGCACTTGATGCCAGGAGATGT